GAAAATGGAAAATGAAATGGAAACTGGGATATGTGCCGTTTAGGGTTTAGGGTTTAGGGTTTAGGGTATATTGGGTACCAATAATGGAGAATCAAATGGAAAAGAACATGGAAAATTAAATGGAAACCCTAGGTCCCCTTTGTCATTTTGAAGGTTTTTCTTTCATCCGAGCCCTCTTAGGAAATCAACAGACAGGCAATGTATACTTCGTGGCTTCACCGAAAATATATAGGGATGCCTTCTTGGGTGTCCCAATAACTTAAAGATGCATTGTGCTTTATGTTGGGAATCTCCGTTTCGGGATACTATCATCTCATTAAGTCACAGAAGAGTGCAGCATTTTCGAGTTTTAAGCACAATTGCAAACATTTCCTGCGCGATATTTTGAGAAGGGGGTCGAGCAACATGTAAGCTGTGTGCCGAGAAAATGACAATGTTTTTTGGAAAAGGAGGCTGTTGGCCGGTCTTCTGTTCGGGGATTCGTGTGGATGGACAGCATTCTTGGCTGCAGGTAACTACCCAGAGCCTTAAAGCTTTGCTTCCGTAACCACAGTTGCAGCCACTTTAAATCGATTCAGACAGGATTTGCGCCGGCCCACCGCCGTGGCCAATTGTGTGCCTGTGGAAGGTTTTTCAGGTGCATTTTTCCACCTCCGGGGTGACCAGGATGCCGTAAGTGCCTTGCAAGCCCGTGAGGTGAAAGATGCTTTCGATGACCTCATGCAGCGGATTCCCAAAATTAGGGTACATTTTTGGGGCTCCCTATCCTAAGGATAATGGTATTTTGAGGTTTATGTTGGGGTCCCCTATTTTGGGAAGCTACCGCGTATGTGTGGCATTTATGTAGGTTCAGAAAGAGAGCAGCGCAGAGATGACGTGCCGCAGCAAGGAAGGGCCTATTCCTTTACTTGAATGGGTCTTTCGATCTGAAGACAGAACCCTGGCGAAGCCGGCCTATTTGAAAGTTCTAGGGTAGTAACTTTTAGTAAAGTCCTAAATGATAACCAACGTATATCCTGTAGACTCGCATAAATGCTATTGTGCACAACATGAGTGTTTTGTGATGTACTGGCCTAATGTACGGTACAAGCGGATCTTGCAGCCCGAGCCCGCTAGAGACGGCATCACCAGCAGTCTACCCACAAAGTCTCTGACATGGTACAAGTGTTGATATGCATCATCGTGAGCATAGGGCCCTAAACCCTAAACATTAATCCTTAAACCCTAAGCCCTGGACGTAAACCCGAATCCCTTAGAGCTTCCCTTACGCAGGTCATGGACGCCCTGAACATGGAGTCTGAGACTGAGTAGAACTATGGATGGAGGATGTATGCGCCATCCCATATACCCTTTAGGATTTAAGGATTAAGATTCGGGGTTAGGCTTAAACATCGGGAACTGAAGCATCTTACGCATCCAGTGTGGTCCAAGATTTCCCCGATACAGCGAGGATTGGACCTAGTCTGTAAATCTGGTTTGAGGGTGGTGAGGGTTGTGCAAACATTGCTCCAAAGTATCGCTATAAGTTTGATGTGCTTTTGGTGTTGAGAGTATCATTACTATCGCTCTTGTTATCGTCATTGTTACTAGTGTTCTTACTACTGGTACTACTGCTCCCCATCGGATCTCAAACAGGCCCGAAGTCTCAAATGAGTGCTTCAACAGATCGAAATGTCAGCGGGGCAGCAGGTAGCACGAAAGTGTTGCCGGTTGTGAACATGGACAAGGCATCATACATCTAGGTTGATCTAAGGGCCATGAGCATTTAAGCAGTAGGGTCGTTGCTGTTCGTCCTTGGCCACCCCAACAGTGGACCTCCAATTTTGAGAGCTTCCACATATCTCACATAAGCGTTGCTGCTGTTTTTTTCTCGGAATGAAGGGCGAATGCAGCAAGACATCTTACAAACAGTTTCCCACTTGTTACCATTTATTAGAATTACTTTGATGAGTGCCTCTCAGTTTTTTGAGTCTCGTTGGTTTTGGTGTCCGTGCTGTCAGGATTTTATTTGGAAGCTCATTTGAAGGCTTTCACTTTTAGGCATGCGTGTGTCTGTCTCGCTGCAGGCTGGCATTCTTCAGTCCCGCATGAGCAAGCTGCCCAGGTTCGAAGACAACAGCTTCGACATGGTTTGGGCATGCGAGTCCGGGGAGCACATGCCGGACAAAAAGAGGCACGAGCTTGGGTTCTTTCATGATACGGGGGCCTTTTGATGCAAGTCCTTCCGGTCAAAGCAGGGCAGTTGCGTTTGTTATGTAAAGATTACAGGTGGACTCTAAGGTTGACTACAAGCAAGAGTAGTCGTAGTAGTAGTAGTAGTAGTAGAAGAAGAAGAAAAGGCTCAAGAGCATTTCGGCTAATGCAGGTCAAGGTACCCTTGCACAGTATGAACCATAGTCTAAACTGCTAGTATCCCCCTTCCTAAACCCCTATACTCCCTTATAATATATACTCCCCTATATAGCCCCCTTTAAGGAGTTTAGACTCTGGCTCATATGGCTTAGGGTAAGCGTTGGCAGCGAGGGTGGCAAGGTGGTGACGGTTGGTGGAAATCAAACCGCCCGCACGGGGCAAGGGCTCACAGCGCAACAGGCCTTACACGGTCTGTTCTAGCTGTGGGGCCACATGCAGTTTGAGGAACTTGCCTGTTTCATGAGACAACTGGGTTGATTAAAACTATGGATAACACTACATACATGAGCTATCGTCTAAACTCCCGCTGAATAACCCTATACTACTCCCTTGTCCAACCCCGCTTTAAGGCTCATAATTAGGGGAGGTCATGAGTACAGAGCCAAGCGCTGTCAGGGTCACGGGGGCATAGCCCGCTTGATGGCAGGCATCCTTCACCAGCTTCCACGCCATCCGTTTCATTTTCCATTTGTCTTGTCCGTTTAATTCTCAAGTATTGGGGGAAGCTATATAGCCCTATGTAATTCCCATCTAGCCATTTTGGGGGGCGTGTCTAACTCTGCTTCTGGCATTGGACTAATTTCCAGGACGAGTGGTTGTGATGGCATGACTCTTGAACTTGTCTCTGAAATGGCAAGTGCTAGTGTCTCTTGACTCGTGAAGGGTTCCTCCATCTTCGCCAGTTGAAACTCCCAAATACATGTCAGCAGATGTCTCAGGGCCCCGAGGGAATATTCCCTATGGGAGATGGCAGAAGTTTGATCCCATGTTTTTTCGTCCTGGGATGACGACTCTCCAAAAGTGGGGACAATTGACGGCATTTGGAAACAGTCAACCCCCTAAGTCAGAAGCCGTTTTTTCTGCGCTAAAGAACAACTGCCCAGGTACGTGGAAGAAATGGCGCGCGTCCTCGCGCCCAAAGGCTCCTGCATCTGCACGATGGTTCTAAGCACGTCTGTTACTGCCACGGCTGCTGTGTATCATGCAAGCGCTACTATTGCTACTGCTCCGACTCCTTCCTAAAACATGTGTAAAGCTGGGTTGCATTATGTCGCTAGCTTTCGTTGTTCAATGTTCGTCAGCATTGCTCTCTTCTGTGCAGTCTTCCTGAAATTACCATTGTGGTTAGGAACCCTAGGAAGCATTTAGCTATAGGCATTTACCCCTATCTCAATATTTACATGCCTGGGTTTAAATGCTTCCTAGTCTCCCCTATGTGACCAACTGGACATGGGCCCCTGAAACCCTAAACCCTTCTCCCATAGGGTTCCAGGCGTCCCGGTGAGGTGCCTTGTTTTCCCAGGACCTGCAGCCTAAAATCTTCGTCCCCGACACGTTGCATACCATGTAAACTTACAGTCGTTCAGCTCCATGAACTTGCCCTCGAATACCTTAAAGGCAGTAACGGGCCTAGATGTTGTAGCAGTGTGGTACGGACCATAGGAGTGTGTCTTCTTCCTTCTTCCTGCCAACGGAGCTCAACAAGGATCACCCTGGCAAATCCCACAATCAATCCCTTAGAGTGGCCCTTTAATGACACACTCCGTGAAATGCTCTCGAAATAATTTCTGTAGAATCCCCCATGGGGATCCCCAAAATCCCTTGCAAGCTCCCCAAAACCCTAGGGTCCCCAAAGGGGTGTCCTGAATTAAGAACGACTCAAACGTCCATGAAGGCAATATGGTGGTGGCTACGTGGTGTGAGAGGGACCCGGCCGAAGCCTCTGCAGGATTCTGTCCCTTAGGGTTTAGGATTTAGGGTTGAGGGTTTAGGTTTTCGGGTGACCACCAAACTGCCGCTGGATAGCAGGGGGATGATTTTGAGAAACCCCGAGACAACTCATCACACCAAAGTTCAAAATTAAAGTTCAGCTCTTGCATTTTGTTTCGAGTTCCTTGGGGGGGGCGCCGGTAGGCCATAGGCGTCCCTAACATGCAGAAGTTTCCCAAAACAGACTGATCCACAAAAGATCCCTTCATCTCACAAGGTGAGCTCCTGGAATGCTGTTTGATTGTAAAAATCGCTATGCTGCAATACCACAAAGAAAAGCGGCGTGCAGATTCCGCAGCCGCTTGGCAGCCCTAGGGTCCCTCATAGCAGGACTTGGTTTCAGCGCTGTGGGTTTCGGCTTTCAGGGTCCAGGCACGTCAGGGAGCTCGGCTAAGACCCCTGCAGAGTACACGTAGCTGTTTTGTTGGCGTGTTTTGGCAGTTTTTCGAGTCGACCAGTATGACAGAAATTCGTCCCAACAAGGGTGTTCACCAGGTCAGGGCACGAAGCATCCTGTCACCATCTCAAAACCAGGACATCAAGTTTCTGAGAAAAAATCAACGTTATGTCAGCTTGCCACGAAGCATCGCAGATTGCCAGAAGACAATTCCCTGTCTAGACAGAGAACAAGCACAGATGGAAAGAGCAGCCGCAAGGCGGTAGCATCCCAAGTGTATAGGGTTTAGGGTTTAGGGTTTAGGGTATACAACATCCGTAAAAACCTCGTATAATCAGCATACAGCTTATATAGCCCCATATGACAATCCCTACTACCCCCAGCCCAAGAGTGCAAGCATGGGATGGGGTGAGTGCAGGTTCCGGGTTTCCTGGGCTTGACCTCACAGTAGGGTTTCCAAGACATCGGGATCTCTTTCATTGAATTGGAGAACGGGGTTGTAGAAAGGGTATATTGGAATTACATAGGAATGTATCGGGATTTATAAGGTTTGGGGTTGCCAACGCTGTTATAAGTGCTACAGTATTTTGGGATCTATGTTGTGTGCCCTCTTTTTCTGGTAGCTATCGCATGGTTCGGTTGTTGCGCCAGTACAAGATGTTCGATAGCAGTAGAGTACTTGGTGCACATCCAGCCTCCAAACGATTGATTCTGACAAGCTCTTGGATTTGCATCGCCTTGCTTTGAAGAATGCTGCCTGATCGAGGTCCCCATCTTCACGGCCGAGGAAAGGAAGACGCTGAACTTCCTCTACGCGGAGCGCGGAGTGGGGCAAGTGTGAGGTTGCATGGAGACTGTAGAAGGTTTACGAAATGCGAGTAGCAGTCTAAGTAGCAATCAGAAAGAAAAATAGGGATCCCAGCTGGCCTTGCATGAGCTATAGTCTAAACTCCTTCAAATAGGGTTATATTGGGGATGCTAAGGGGATAGCAGCAGTTTAGACTATAGCTCACATGATATTGTCTTGTGTTCGGGTAGGAGGCTAAAAGGCTAGAGGAGTGTTGGTGTTGTACGAAGTGCCAAGTTTTCTTCATGGGTTCGCTGAACAGCCCCCCCCCCCCGCCCTTGACTTCACCTGCTAGGTTCCGTCCACATTGGGCGTCGTCATTTTTAACCAGCCCAAATTTGCCAAATAAACTGGAAATCATGAGTGTGTAGCAGGGTATCAACAGGGATTGTTAGGGTACAAGAGTGAGAGAGAGTTGTCAATGTGTTGGTGCGTTGTAGGCTTCCAGAACAAGCCGCCAGTACAGGACACTGCCAGTACTGATGTCATATGATGGGCAACTTTGACTCTCAAATTGTGGAATCAAGGGTATGCGGTATGGCCAGGAGTTGCGAACTCTGCGCACAAACTATGGCTGGAAAAGACAGGTGCTCAAACATCGACGCCTATGAGCCAAGGGTTTAGGGTTAGGGTGTCAACCCGGGCAAACATCAGAAACAAGACCACCGTGAACCCTACACCCCGCAAACATGCAATGAAACCCTGAAGGGCCCCGTAGCATTCCATTTAAACCCGCTCTCGCCTTTTTGGCTGCACGTAGCACTCAGGCTCTAGGGTTTGGCCCTCAGGTTTTGGACTATATGGAATTCAAGTCATGAACCCTAACCTGTGAAGCGCCAAGAGCTTGTCAGGAGTGGACGCACCCGTACTTCATTTCCCTCAACAAGTACAAGGACTGTGTTATTTGGTCTTAGGGTCTGAGGTGTTTCTGATGCATTGCATAGGGCTTATGCTAATCGGTGGCCGTCCATAAGCTTTGCAAGGCTCATTTTGGGCCTGAGGTATGCAGCCTGGCGTCTCACTTAATGGTCTGGATCCAGGAAATCCAATCCCTAAGCCTCAAACCCTAAACCCTATAGGTGTAAAACCCCAAACCCTAAGCCCCCAAGTCCAAAACTGTATGATCATGTTGGAAAGCTGGGTTTCGGGTTTAGGGTGGGAAGTTAGTTGCCCGAAGGCCAACCAGAAAAAAGTTGCAGATACTTGTTCTATTGTCTCATATCTCTCTGAATGGCTGCTCTGAATACTGTGCCCTAAACCCTGGAAAAGGGTTTGGGGTTGAGACTTTTGAGCCCATCATATGTGGGGCAGCAGATGTGGCGCAGATGTCCAACAGTGGTGTCTTCTCTCAACCAAATGCTTAGGCCCCTGGAAATCTAAACAGGAGATCTCTGTTTGGAGACAATACTCAATGTAGCAAATCACAGTCTCCAATTTGGAGGTTCTAACCCTAAATCCGAAACCCTAAACCCTTGCTGTAGCTTTTTTTGAGCTGACCATGGCTCTCACACGCTCAAATCCAATGCTCAAGGCCAGGAGGATACCAAAGCCACTGCAACAGGGATCCATTTGGGATAACATGGGTTTAGGGCTTGGGGATATTTACAACATATTTCTATACAGCCCTAAATATTTTCCTAGGCATTATAGACTCCATGAGTTTGGAGAACCTTGACTACAAGCCAGCCAGGAGTATTTGGAGGGCACAGAACTGTTGAAGGAGGCGGCAGGGCGGCTGGTACCTTGCAGAATCCCAGGTTTGGGTGTGAAATGATTTTGCATTTAGCGACTTACAATATGACTCGGTATGGTGTCTGTCAAACAATACTGGTTTCTGACATGGTTCAAAAGTTGGACGGCCTGGGGTCGTTCATTGTTGGATTGGTGTGAACGGATGTTGGACTTTCAGGGTGTGGGGCGTCTTGTCTTGGTTCTGTTTCCGCTGGGCTTCTGCAGCCTTTGAATGCAAGACCGATCCCAGCATGTTGCTTCTGCTCCTGGTCCATGCATAAGACTGGAACCGTGTAATACTCTCATAGTTCTCGAAGGTTAGATCCCGCATACCCTTAACTTGCTGGTGATTAGTAGGGAATAGGGCAATATTATCCCTGTATAGTATATTCCCTGATTCCCTACTAGCCACCAGTAAAGCAAAGTACACAAGCCATCGATGTTTGGCTTCGAGTCCGTGCAATCTTGAGAAGAGATCATGTAGATATGTGTCATGAACTGCTGTGACCAGTAACTGCTTCAGCTTTATCACGGTTTAGGGTTTACACCCTCCGCACACCAGTGCGACGCATAGATTCCCCACACACTGGTTATTTAGCAAAGGAATCTTTTCCTTGGCAGTTCACACCCCTGCCTCATGAAGTGCGGTTTAGGGTTTAGGGTAATCCTCTGCCCTGAAAATTCAAGATCCTTCCCCAATGTTGAGTGTTCCGTGCAAACTATTTACATGGAAGAATGCTTCAGGCGGCTACGGGCTTCCCGGGTTTGGCAGAGGCAAAAGACCTTTTTTTGTAATGCCATCAGCTGTTCTTCTGCAAAAGACCGTAAGCATGATACGAGCTACGGACTAAATTTAGGTTGGGGAACCTTTATGTGATGTATTGGGGGGGCTGCGGGGGACCTATTTAAGGCAGTCCAAGGCTCGTACAGTCTCACAATCAGGGTCCCTCGCAGAGACCGCAGCATCATAGGATCTTAGAGACAAGAACATGAAGATAGTGAAGCCCGAAACATGCCCTACATGACCCTCATGACCCCCCGAGTCCCAACCAAGCCCCAAAAGATCTAAGAGTACGCCTGCAAGAAAGATGAATTCAGATCATCTGGCCCTGCATGGCTCTGGTCCCTGCTCCTTAAGCTTTATAGCCCCCTTAGATAGAATATGGCTTTGGGTACTTTACAATAAGATACCCATATACCCCACATTCTATTTACTTAAGGGGGACTATAGCTTCGTAAACCTCACCTCGACATGTCAAACCCTGAACGAAAAGCTGCAACACTTCACCGCATACGCGATCCAGAGGCATCAGCCTTGCACTGCCCATTCCCTCCCCACTTGAATCACATAACCCACCACGTATATGGGTGGTCTTCAAAATTATGGGCCCTTCTTGGATCCCTATTATAAAACGGCACCTAATATTTAGGTTACCCAAAAAGGGATCATAATTTTGACAACCAGCCATATACAACTTCTGGAGCGCACCCTTCCCTAAATGACCCCTATACACGCGCTCTGCTAGACCCTAAATCAACTTATGGATTCCCCTACTACCCCCCCACCATCACGCCCGGAGGTTTAGTTAGGCTTGGTCTCTATAAGGTTAATCTGGGCCCAATAAGGTGCAACCACAGTAAGGAGTTTTGTTGTAGGATGGTGATTAGGAGAACTGAGAATAAGCCCTTAGAGGTGGACACAGCTGACTGGACGGAGCAGACGCTACCGGCATGGCGGCACTCTGTATGGGCGCGGGCCTGAGCATCTGGAGAGATACAGGGTCTGTGGCTTTTGGCCGGTAGACGGGGCTTAGGTTTGGCTAAGCCCTAAATCCCTAGATACTAAAACCCCAAACCTGTACAGTTTCGTATTTGAAAAGGAGGCTTTCGAGAAATCTTTCCAAGGGCGAAGACATGGACCAAGCATGGAGCCTGGGGGGTTCTAGAAGACATGTTTTACCATCTTGACTTTCTGGATTGAATACCACATGCACACACTGTCACGGTGAGCTGTCAGACAGGATGTCACTTTCAAAGAGCCTCAACATGGGAATTCCTCTAAGTCTGTCAAACTTGTGGCCTGTTCAGTCTACGTGTTCGCTATCATATAGCGCACCCCCTCCCCCCCTTATACTGGGACACGCAAGCCCCAAACATTGAGAAGCTTGCACATAAAAGCTGAGCGAAAAACCAGCCTGGGCTACCAGGGGCGTAATCATGACTCACTGAGAAGAATTTTGCCAGAAAGGTGCCATGATTTTTGCTGCATCATCGTGGAGCCCTAAACACCTAGACCACGTGAAACGTGCTTAGTCTCTGTAGCCTTCCAGGGCTCCCACGACCCTTCCAGGGGTAGCTTTGAACATGATTTTCCGTTGTCGTTTCCCTCAATCCCTAAATTAATCCCTATATAATCCTATATGATCCCTATAAGGACACAAAAACTTTAATGTTTACGCCTACCCTAGCTTCAAGGTCGGCGTGTGGTCGCCGTGGTACTGGCTGAAGGTCACGTTCAGGAGCCAGCTAGTGATCTGGTCTGCGATGGTTGACTGTGGTTCAATCCCCTAAGAAAAAAACCTCCACCCACCCTAAAAATAACTGCCCAAAACACAATACCTGGTATATGGGGCGTAAATGTTTAGTACGGCGGGTATGACGGGACGGTTGCTATTCTAATTTTACGCCTGTTCCTTAATAGGGGCCATAACAAGAATCCGACTATCTGAGGCGTGGTTTAGCTAATCTTTCCCTGACAACACCCCGCCACCGTGCTGAAGCAACATAATTAGTCGTGTCCCTGCAATGAATAAAGGTTCAGCTCGCTCAGCTGTGGGGTCGAGATGACCCCTATCTCTGGCATTCAATGCAGAAGCCTGAATAATTACCAACATTATTCCTTATGGTCCTTGTTCTAGTGGAATTTACCCCCGCACGTTCCGGTGTAGCCATTTGGGCCCTGACCCCACTACCCTTATAAGCCCTCCGTGAGTTAATTTGGCAGGATGCAAAGTGTAGGTTGAAAGCTATATCCTACCATCTCTGCCGCTTGGAGAGATAGGTGTTTTTTCTGAGTGGGCCTTGGCTGCTACACGGGCCTAAATAGCTATGGTATACCGTACTATATGAGGATTATAAGGTGATAGTATCGAAATTTGTTGCTAGGCGCAGGAAGGTTTGGTCCCAGGCAATTTGAAGCACCCCATCTGAGCTGTAGTCTAATCTCCTTTAAAGGGGGGTTACATAGGGATGATATAGGCAGTGTTGTAGGGCTTACTCGGGGGGATATCAGGAATCAGGAATTTAGACTATAGCTCATCTCTTTTACTTGGCTGTCGGTTTCGAACTTCTGCTGTAATTCCTTACGTGAGTCTGTCAATCGGCCGCCTTGACAGCCCAAGCGCAATGCTTCGATGACTCTATGACTAGGACTAGGTGGCACTTTGGGTGCATGAACAATCTTAAGTCTTGTCCTTTAAAGTACCTCCCAGATGAAATTCGTTGAATCTTGCTGATCGGGCTCCGGAGAGGTCTGTAATCTCTTCCCTCTACGATCA